GATCTTCAGGCGACGATGTATGTTCAACTAACTTTTCCTGCTTGGTAACGTTGATATCCGTTGTGCTGCTTGCGTGACTGAGTTTGCGTGCGTGATTGAGCTTGCGTACGTTCAAACTTTTCGGCCAAGAATCGTTTTTGGTGAACGCACTTCGAGAACAACTCGCGTCTTCTATTTAGCAAGTAAAAAAGAAAAGACAACAATTATAAAGCTCTACTAATAGAAAAGACAACAATTATAAAGCATACAAGCATTATTGTTTTCTTTAGTAGAAAAGACAACAATTATAAAGCTCTACTAATATTGGTGTTGAGCACTCTTCAAACTACTCAGTGCGTTCATACTTTTGTTTGAATCAACGATTATTATTGATATACGGTATATATATATATATATATATATATATATATATATATATATATATATATATATATATATATATATATATATATATATATATATATATATATATATATATATATATATAATTGTCTTTTTTACTTAAAATTAATTAAGTCGCAACTCTGAGTTTCACGTTTTCACGATCTTCAGGCGACGATGTATAAAATGTTTAAAGCTCTACTAATATTGGTGTTGAGCACTCTTCAAACTACTCAGTGCGTTCATACTTTTGTTTGAATCAACGATTATTATTGATATATATATATATATATATATATATATATATATATATATATATATATATATATATATATATATATATATATATATATATATATATATATATATATATATATATACAAGTATCGAGTTTGGAATCATATATGAGTAGAGTTGATTGAATATACTTTTTTAATTGTTTTCAGACAAGTGTATACCAAACCGGGCAAGCAGAAAATTCTACTTGAACGCCGCTGGGATTCGAACCCGCGACCTTCGCATTTCTAGAACGATGCTCTATACCGTCTGAGCTACAAGGTCAAGCGGAGAACGACTTGTTAAGTTATGATGGTAGTTGCATTTCGGAGGTTAGTCCTTCAATGCGTAAAGCCAGCTATTAGTCTGGCAATGTTGTATGTGAATGTTGTGGTTTCCCACGTTTACGATTCCACTCGTGTAACGTTATGTAGCGGTTTTTGAGTTGTTTTCAGACGAGTGTATACCAAACAGGGCAAGCAGAAAATTCTACTTGACCGCGGCTGCATGGGATTCGAACCCGCGACCTTCGCATTTCTAGAACGATGCTCTACCGTCTGAGCTACAAGGTCAAGCTGAGAACGACTTGTTAAGTTATGTATATATATATATATATATATATATATATATATATATATATATATATATATATATATATATATATATATATATATATATATATATATATATATATATATATATATATGTATATATCAAGTGCTATCTTATGTTATGTTGTGTTATTGTTCACTCAGTAATATGATATGGAGAAAATGTTCTCGAGTGGGTATTTCATAATTTCCAGACCGCGCGTAAGCAGAAAACTTTGCCCGCCGCAACTGATTTTCAAACTTGCGACCTTGAATTACTAGATCGATGCTATAGCGACCTTCGAATTACCAGATCGAGCTACACGGTCAGGATGGATTGAAGACTTTAAATTCTGAACAATGTACTGAATGTCATAAACATACTCGTTTATATTAATTCAGTATCGAACAATACTAGTTCAATCAAAAGTGTTATGTTATGTTGTGTTATTGTTCACTCGGTAATGTGATAAGGAGAAAATGTTCTCGAGTGAGTATTTCATAATTTCCAGACTACGCGCAAGCAGAAAACTTTGCCCGCCGCGGCTGGGATGCTTATCTAATCACAGAGCTCGAGGATGCTTATCTAATTACAGATAAATTTCTACCAAACTTGATACTAATATTTACCGGAGTAGAATTTCGCTTCCTAGTTCTGAAAGAAATCTTCTCATTAATTTAAGCAAAAGCTCGAAATTCATGCTCATTTTATCCTGTCAATACATATATGCGAAAGTACTAGAAATAACACTTTCGTGTGTAGTAGTTTGCGTGTGTCTTACCTCTATCAAAACTATAGCAATCGATGCGGAGTGTCTTACCTCTTTATTAATCCTTCGTAATATTTTTTCAGTTTAAGTTTTCAGTTCACTTCCCCTGACGATTTTCAATTTCTAGTAACTCACAAATTTTGTGTAAGAGATCGCTTCCAAGTTCTAACAAAAATCCTATCGTTAAACATAAAAGCTCGAAATTTATGCTCATTTTATCCTGCGATCCTGTCGCATATACATGCATAAGCAGAAATAAACTAGAAATGACACTTTCATATGTAGGCTAGTATAGTTAGCGTGTGATCTTATACCTCTATTAAAACTATAACAATCTATGAGTGTGTTACCTCTTTGTTAATCCTTCGTAATATTTTTTCAATTTATGTTGTCTTTTCTTCTCAATTTCTATTAACTCCTACCCTGGATTCCAGAGCCATCGACAGTAAATAATAAATTGAAATGTCGCGAAGGCTCTGGTTCAACGGAGCGATTCTTTGATTGAACCGCGCCAATCACAAAACAGAATTAGTGGTTTTAGTAAAACCACTAATTCTGTTTTGTGATTGGCGCGGTTCAATCAAAGAATCGCCCCGTTGAACCAGAGCCTTCGCGACATGTCAATTTATTATTTACTGTCGAAGGCTCTGGAATCCAGGGTACTTAACTCCTGAATTCTGTACGAAATCCTTACTTTTCTTTTCAACTTCCAATTTCCAGCTGACTGTTCTCAAAACAACACCCGCGCCGTTAATGCTCCTACCATGCAGTCAATGAAATTAAGAGTTTGAGTAATTGACCATTTGCGTAATAGACTAAATTTTGATCTCAACAAAAATTTCATTACAGCTTGAAAGAGCATCACAAAATTAGTAATATTCCAAAGTTTCGTTGCGAAATGTTGTAAAATGCGGAAAATATAGCCTTGCGAAGTTTTCAATTTTCAGTCATTTTAGATTACAAACGGGAAATTGACAGCCCCAAACCCTTCGAGGCTGTCAATTTCCCGTTTGTAATCTAAAATGACTGAAAATTGCAAATTTCACAAGGCTATATTTTCCGCATTTTACAACGTTTTGCAACGAAACTTTGGAATATTACTAATTTTGTGATGCTCCTTCAAGCTGTGATGAAATTTGTCGCGGGTAAAAACTCGCGAGTCGACGGGAAAAGGGTCAACAATTTATTTTAATATTAATATTATTATAATGAAAATTAAAAAATATCATAAATTATTATATATAGTAATATTATCAATATTATATAATACCGCGCAGTGTTATAATATAACTCTACAGCTCTGTCTCAAGCGTATGGCATAAAATAAGTCCCTTTTCTTTCCAAACAGTTCTAATTAACCATCATATAAATCAATGTTTGAAACATCATTATCGAAGCGCACGCTGCATGCATGAAAGCCTTGCTAAATTATGTCATCAGTATACTGGCGGCATCGAAAAGCACATATGGTTTAAACACGGCAGCAAGGTGATTATTTGTGTGTTTTATTTTTCTGCTGGGGCGATGCCTTTATAATTATTATAATAATATTGTCTAGTTCAAACGTCAAACGTATCATGTGCTGAATACTAAAACTTCGATCATTGTAAACGTCAAAACTGATGAGCCCAATTTCTAGCGGCGAGCATTTGACGTTTTTTTGTTTCGATGTTTAGTTTACCTCGGGCAAAAATAAATTGGGTACATACGCGTTGAACCAAAGTCGAACTAAACGGTTACCAGGCTTATTACTGCATCGAATGAGTTAGTTGTAATAAAAAAGGACGGAATGTGTAAATAGCCGAACGGAATTAGTACCCTTGCCCCGAGCTTACGCCCGAAGCTGCGCTATAAATTGGCGCCATCCGCTCGGTGATTAAGACTTGTTTATCTAATTAAATTAACTTGTAAAATAGTTTAAATTAAATATTAATTGTTTTCGTTATATTCGTAAAAGTACACCGGGTGTCCCAAAAAAAAACTTGCGCTGTTTGATTTAATGTAACATAAAAATTATAAAAGCTATTGCACTCAAATAAATTATATTGTATTCAGGAAGGGCTAACTTAGATTTTGATGTACAGGGTGTATAAAAAAAACGCAACCTCGGAATTTCCCAAGAAGTCGACATTGTTTTAAAGACAAAAGATTTTAGGCGCCTGGGAATTTAAAATAGCACAACTGTCAAAATTACTGCACACGCGAGTGCATAAAGCAAAATTTATGCATTTATTTAATGCACAACAACAGTAATATGATCTATTAGCAATGCGATTTCAATTCCCAGGGGCCTAAAATCTTTTATGCTTAAGAATTGCAAAGTGATTTCTTAGGAAATTCCGAGGGCGAGGTTGCGTTTTTTTTTATACACCCTGTATAACATTTGAATATGCGTGCAATATTTACTGAGCTATCGATGTTTTAAATCGAACAAGACGCTCTGTGGAGCGTTAACTCGCTGGGGCTACACAACTGACGCACATTACTGTTAAGATCTAAAGGCTTGATTCCACGAACGCTTTTTCTCGGCGAAATGCGAATTATTTCGCCTGTTTCTTTTGAATTGCGACTACTCGAATAAAGTAATTCTACTTGATTGCTCACAATTCAAAAGAAACAGGCGAAATATTTCGCATTTCGCCGAGAAAAAGCGCCCGTGGAACCAGGCCTTTAATTAAAGGCTGATTTCCACTGTTGCGTTTTTCGTACGCACGTATACACGGCTACACGCACGTAAAACTTTGAATCCTTCTATTTTCAAATATTTTACAAGTAAGTTAACAAATTGATACTAAAACTTGCGGAGCAGTAAATTCTGTTGCTTTATTTATTTGGGTATTTTACAGATTTAAAGTTTTACGTGCGTATATTAAGCCTGGTGTGGAAATTAAGCCTGGCCATAAACGCCGGAAGTTTCCCCTTTAGCTCGGGCCCACAAGTAAAGTTATATTTTATAGTACGCTACATTCTTCTGTCGGCCGCCAGTTTAAAACGTTCAAAATAAAATATTTTGGGGCTTTTCGGCTCAAAATATTATCAAAATGAAGAGAGAAGTGAGACGACTCCACTGGTGTACGGCCGAAAAAGAGAAAACCAATGATACCAAAGTTATCAAGGATCAAACGTACTGCATCTTTTATAAATTATTTGAGCGATTTGTCAACAAATAATACAATTTCGCTTGGCTTTCAAAGACAAAGTCAAAGGCCATAAATAGCTATAATACTGTTTTCAGTTGTTTAGTAATACATTTGACATCCGTAGGTACAATTTCTCATCCGTAAGTACAATTTCTTACGCTGAATCGAACGGTGGTGTTTTTATTGCGCCATTAATTAGGCAATACATACAAGGGCAAACGTACTGCGAGTGATTTGATGTCGACAATACAATTTCGCTTGATTTTCAAAGGCCATAAATCGCTAGAATACTGATGTTTAGTAATACATTTGACATCCGTAAGTACAATTTCTTACGCTGAATCGAACGGTGGTATTTTTGTCCTTATTGCGCCATTAAGAGGCATTTTATACAAATACAATATCATATTTCACACTGAGTACACTACAGTCTACAGACAGTTTTAACGGACTGTTGTTCGATAAATTAATTTATATTGATATGACACCAATATGCTTCTCATAAAGTAGTTATAACTTAAACTGCACAACGTAGTTTTAATAAATAACCTTTTACCTTGAAATTGTCTTTGGCTCGTTTATATTCAGATTCAGTATATTATGATCGTGCACGGGAATTCAACGATCCAAATTTTGAATTTTCAGAGTCGTGCACCAAGGAAAACGCATTAAATAAACTAGCATGAATGTCCTGAGTTTGACACAATGCAAAATCCATGCATAGAAAACAGGTACAATTCGGCCAAAATTTTCACGCAATTGTTTGAAACATTTTGCCCACCAACCTCGTCCCCAGGATCTTCCTCGTGGTGGCGCGTGAGCTGAGGAAGACCCTGGTAAAATACGATGAAATCTCCAAGATTCTTGGAGATTTATCGCATGCGCAGTAACGACAACGTTATGTTGCTGACTACAATTAGCGCTGGCGCTTACGATTTTCTTGCTTGAAAATATACATGTTTTGTTGATTGTTTATGGATTTATTCTCAAAGTTTTAACAACTTTTAAGAAAAATTCTTCAGATATAAGCTGTGAACACACATGTACACAAAACTGTGCAACATTTATGATC